CAGTTCCAGCAACCGTTCCTTATGTTTTAGCCTCCAGTCCCCTAATCATCTTTGTTGCTCTTCTCTGTACTCTTTCTAGAGTCCAGCATCTTTTTTACATCGTGGTGACCAAAACTGGATGCATGGTTTCAGTGCTCCCTTGCAAGTTTCATTTTTCTGAAAGGACGTCTATGGAAACCAGGCATTCCTCTTTCACATATAGAGAATGTGTCGCTGAAGCTAATACAAAAAAAAAATTGCATGCCCAGATTTAGTCCTGGAGATGCAATTTTATTTTCTGGTCTCTGGTCATCCTTATTTGTAGCTTTCCCTGCTTCTTTGCCCCTCTCATCCATGACTAGACAGAAGGAACCATTGCTTCCCTTTAGACATGCATTTTTGAAGACTGTCTCCATGCAGATGGAACAAGCAAGCAAGCAAGATGTAACATTTTATTGTTGCACTTCTGCACCTGTTCAGAAAAAGATTCAGCCTGTGTATCAGTGGTTGAAGAGAAAAATAGAAGAGCCAGATGATCCTCATTTTACTGGAGAAGAAACAAACAAAGAAAACAAGAGGTTCACTCTTACACCTGATAGGCGGTCAAACAGCACAGAAAGAAAAGACATGACCCAGGACTCAGATTCTGATTTTGACTCTGAAAAAGCTGAACTAATGGTATGTCAGCCTCACCAGACACCAAGCCAGGAGTCAATCAATAAGAATAGAGCTGGAAGGGACCTTGGACCCTGCTTGGACCTTGGACCCTGCTTCTAGTCCAAACTCTTGCTCAAGGAGGAGACCCTATAACATTTCAGACAAGTGACTGTCCAGTCTCTTCTTAAAAATCTCCAGTGATGAAGCATCCACAACTTCTGAAGGCAAGCTGTTCCACTGGTTAATTGTCTTAACTGTTAGGAAGTTTCTCCTTAGTTCCAGATTGCTTCTCTCCTTGATTAGTTTCCACCCATCATTTCTTGTCTTGCCTTCTGGTGCTTTGGAAAATAAGTTGACCCCCTCTTCTTTGTGGTAGCGACTCAAATACTAGAACAATGCTATCATGTCCCCCCTAGTCCTTCTTTTCTCTAGACTAGCCAAACCTAAATCTTGCAACCATTCTTCATATGTTTTAGCCTGCAGGCCTTTAATCATCTTAGTTGATTTTTGCACTTTGTCCAAGTCTCAACATCTTTTTTGTAATGTGGTGACCAAAACTCGATGCAGTATTCCAGGTGTGGCCTTACTAAGTCTTTATAAAGTGGTAATAATACTTCATGTAATTTTGATTCTATACCTCTGTTTATACAACTATAGATTGTACTAGCTTTTTTGACTGCTGCTGCACACTGCTGGCTCATATTTATATAATCATCGTCGTCGTCGTCGTAGTAGTAGTAGTAGTAGTCCTAGTGGATGATCCGAAATGGTATAGGGTTTCCTGCCTGAGCAGGGGGTTGGACTACATGACCTCCAAGGTCCCTTCCAACTTTAGTTGGAAGTAGTAAAGTTGGAAGGGACCTTGGAGGTCATGTAGTCCAACCCCCTGCTCAGGCAGAAAACCCTATACCATTTCGGATCATCCACTAGGACTCCAAGTTCCCTCTCACAATTATGTTTTTGAGCTAGGTTTCACCTAATCTATACTTATACCTTTGATTTTTCCGGCCTACATGTAAAACCTTGTTTTTCTTCACATTAAATTTCCTTTTTTGGATTTTTTTCTTCAAGTCTGTCAAGATCTTTTTGGATCCTGAGCTTGTCTCCTGGGGTGTTGGCTATTCCTGCCAGCTTAGTGTCATCTGCAAATTTGATGAGTTCCCCTTCTATTCCCTCATTTATGAAGATATTGAATAGTACTGGGCCAAAGACGGAACCTTATGGTACTCCACTGCTTACTTCCCTCCATGTAGATGTAGTACAATTAAGGGCAACTCATTGAGTATGGTTAGTCAGCCAGTTACAAATCCATTTGGTGGTGATGCTGTCTATCCCATATTTTTCTAGCTTACCAAGAGGTAGGTTGTGGTTTACTTTATCAAATGTCTTACTGAAGTCTAAGTATACTATGTCTATGCTGGTCTGCTAATTCTTTGTCAAAGAATGAAATAAGATTGGTTTGGCATGACCTGTTTTTAACAAACCCATATTGGCTTTTAGTTATAGCTTTATTATGGTACAATGGTTCTGAGATAACATCTGCCAGCTCCTTCAGAATTCTGCAAAGTAACCCACCAGGACCCAGTGATTTATATGCATCAAGATCACATAGGTGTTCTCTAACCATTTTCTGTCTTTTACACTTAGGTTTTTGATAGGTTGGGCAATATTTCCTTTTTGCGTTAAGACTGATGCAAAGAATGAGTTAAGCAGCTCTGCTTTCTCTCTACTGCCTGTTACTTCCTTGCCATCTTCTCTCTTAAGTGGACCTACTGTTTCCTTTGACTTTTTCCTTGTTATTTATATGCTGAAAGAAACATTTTTTAAAAATATCTTTGACTTTTGTTGCAAGTCTTTGTTCATTCTGAGCCTTTGCTTTCCTGACTTCATCTTTGCAGATTCGGGCTGTCTGCTGATATGCTGCCTTAGTTATGTGTTCCTCTTTCCATTTTTTTTGTACTTGTCCTTTTTGTCTTTCAGTTTATCAGAGAGATGCAGTTAGTCTTCAGTCCCATCAAGAACCCCTCATTCTGCTGCTTCTCGTGGTTCTCTCTACTCAAGGAGTCTGGGCTGTACTCCAAGCCAAATGCTCCTTGGCTCTGCAGAGGGATGAGGTGGACCCAAAGAATCATTACAGGCCAGGAGAGCTTTCCATTGGTGGCATCATCTCTGCAACCCAGGCTTTTTTTCAAATATTAAGTTTCAAAGAACCTCCTTTGACTCAAGTATTGATGTAAGTCAATCTTCCTATACTGCATTAGAGTAACTCCATTTCCGAGTTTCACCTTCCACCATTTCATCATTTGGGAATCTATCTTAAACCCAGCAGCTGATAAGCCTCTTTTGAAATTCTTAAATACAATCATCAAGCAGGGATCTTCTGTTTTTCCTGACCTTGAAGAACAGACATTTTCTTTGATATCCTCTGAGGAGAAGTAGACTGTAACTCTTCCTTGCCCTATAAAAGGGTCAAAATAGAAACAAAATGCAAAAATGCTATACTTTTTCCTTACATTGAAAATTTGATAGCCTCTCCCTCCATTTTGGGGGGGAGGGAGGTACAGGGGTTTTCATGGATAATAGGAAAGAATCTCATACCTGCATGTATTGTTTTTCTGAATTCCCTTGTCTGAGATTCCTTTCTTAAACTGATGTCAAATACTCTAATAATTTGAATGTAAATTAAGACTCCACTTAATGACTTTAGACAGCAGGCATTAAAATACAAACATTTGCAGCAATCAATAATGTATTGGCCTTGTTAAAATTACAGCTCTCAGTCTCCGTGGGTTTTTGTGTCTGAGTGTGCACTTAATGATTCTATATTTAATGGGGAAAATAGATCAAACAACTCCAGTATTAGAAACTAGAGAACATAATTGTAGAGAAAAAGAAAGCACATTAAAGTCAGTCTGCAATCTTAGGCCAATTCCAAGGATATTCATGAGAATAAGAATAAGCCAAAGAATAACCCAAAGCTAAAAATATATACATTCCTTTAGGCCTATATATATTTGGGGAGACCTCTTAGACTTCAGAGAATAGAAGCCATGATGTTCAACCTCTGGAACATCCTGTTCCCTGGGATGATTGGTTGGTTGAATTTTAACTGAATTTTAAATGTTTGATTCCTAGTTATTGTTTTAGGATTTATGTAGTACTTTAATTATATGACTTTAAGCTGCCTAGAGTTGCCTCAGCAAGGTGGGTGGCATAGGAGTTTATTAATTAATTAAATAATTGAAACTATCCATTAAAATATATTCAATGTACAAAATCTGTTTCCCAAAAAACACTTGGTTAGTGCCTTTGAAATATAGTCGGATATCTTTTATTAATGTGTTTTATTGATTTTTATCATTTTATGTTACATTTTTTTCAGGTTTGCTCTAACCTATTCAGAATTCTTGAACTAAGGCATATTATAAGTATTTTTGTAACAGATTAAACAAAACATTCTTTTGATTGATTTCTGTATGTTTAATAAATTATCTGTACAGAATAAAAGGGGTACAATACTGGAAAATCCTATCCTTCATTTTTGCCCTCCAAGAGATTAACCAGGATTCCCATATCTTACCCAACATCACCCTGGGTTACAATATCTATGAAAATTATTTCAGTCCAGGGAAGACTTCAGATGCTTTGCTGGACCTGCTTTCAGATGGGGAGGCCAATATCCCCAACTACAGTTGTGGGAAACAGAGAAACACAGTGGCTGTTCTTGAAGGGGCTGAAACTGGCTTCTCCATCCAGATATCATCTATGTTAGAGACCTACAAAATCCCACAGGTGAGTCTTTGCTGGGACGACCAGTTTTAATCATACAGCTTTCAATGAGATGTCTTCCCTTGTATATGAAGACCAGAGTTTGTTATGGAAATGATTGGTCTTTAGAATGATACTTCAGGTTATCCAAAAGGAGGGAAGCAATAACACAAAATATCTGCTCTTGCCCTGTTCTAAGTTCAGATTTGGGAAACATTTTTCTAGGACAAAATATTCTACACTTAAGAAGCAAGTGGAAGAGAGGCGATGCATGAATCAATGGGGAAATACAGAAGTCTTCACTTCAAGAAGTGGAACTAACCCTTCATTAGAGACAGAATTGATGTCTTACATCTGTCATGGGTCTCAAATAAAATACCACTTTTCCTTCCTTTTCAGATTAGTTACAATTTTGTTTCTCAGATTCTGATGGATAAAACTGGCTTTCCTTTCTTCTACCCAATGCTCCCTGCTGAAGGATTCCAGTATTCAGGGATGGTCAAACTGGTCCTCCATTTCAGGTGGACTTTGGTTGGTCTGCTGGCTCCAGACACTGACCAGGGGCAGAAATTCATGACAACATTGACTTCCATGCTGATAAGCAATGGTGTTTGTCCAGTTATATCACAGACATTTTTGCCAACTACCTTCGAGATCTTAATAAGTATTCCTCTATATCAAAACTGGAGACAAGTGAACATCTTTCTTTATGCTGCAGAGTTTGACTCAATTGGCACTGGAATAGCACTTTTATATCTAGTACATCAAAATATTGAGGAAACATTTGCAGGAAAAGTCCTGGTGACAACTGTCCTCTGGGACTTACAAATGTTTTTCGCGGAGCAGGAATTTCCCTCTGAATTCATTCAAAGCATTCTTTCCTTTCTTTTGAAGACAAATCAAATGACAAAATGTGGTGGGCATATTCAGTTTTACTATTCCATTAGACGTTTTGCAGAAAAATCCTTCATGTGCTCCTACACCAAGGATGCCTTTTCTGTGAAAGTCTGGAGACGGTGCAGAGAAAGAGAAGAACTTGAGGTTCTGCCACAATATGTGGTGGATCGGATCCTGTGCTTAGACAATCATTTTATTTACAACACCATCTGGGCTGTGGCACGGGCCTTATATGCAGCCTATTTGTTCAGATCCAAGAGGAAAAATATAGAAGGTGGTAAGAGCTTAGAAGCACCAAGACTGAAGGCTTGGCAGGTATTTCTTGCTGTTATATGCATCTCTCCTGCAGCTAAGAATCCATTTGGTAGTTGTAAGAATTGGGCAGCTATTCTAAAAATATCATTTATTCTGAGGAGAAATTAATTGAAAGCCAACTTTCCATTTATCTTCTTTTTTGCATTCCTTCACTCCTTTCCCTTCTTTGGACACATATTATCTTTTAAAATTAGTTTTCAAAAAGGAATAATTACAAAATCCGGAAATTCTACATAATTGTTTCTCTATCACATTTCACAGTGTTTGTCCAGTTTATATATAAATAGTAAGTTGATAGGGGTTACAATTCAATGCTGATTGATTGTCTCCTGAAAAGGAGACTTTCCATGGAAATCTGGAGATCTTATCTAAACTTTGCATTTTTTTCTTCCATTCCAGCTTCATCCCTTCCTTGGAAACTCTGAATTTTATAATAAATCAATAGAAGGAGTATATCTGGATGGGAAGGGAGAACTAACAGTGGATCTGGACATTTTCAATTGGCTGTGTCACAACACATCAATCAATAGAGTGATGTTTGGCAGCCTAGAAAAACAGGGATCCCTGGATTTCAACTTCATGGTCAATCCACATGGTGTGGCAAAGATCAATGAGCTGAACAAGGTGGAGAAATTCTTTATTTCAGTTTTTGTGAACAAGATAAAATAAGATAGATAAGATAACCTTTATTGTCATTTTTTTACTGTGGGCACAATGACACACATCAAAAATGAAATTTAGTTGCCCGCTCTCAAACAAGATTGCTTTCTTGGGAGAGAATGTGGTTTTGAATGTCATCTACATCATCCAAGAGAAGCAATAAATTCGTTGGGTAGATATCAAGCTGTCTTTAAGAAATATATCTTTATCTATTTAAGGAAACTATTTGCTAGTCATCTCAGAAGTGAGGAATGTTTGACCTAGGGTATGTTTGGTTTCTTTCCCCAAAGAAAAAAAATGCATTAAACTTTATCTTTAGCAATTTATCATGTAAATTTAGAACCTAGACTAAAATGCACATGTACAAAGTATTAGGAAAAAAAGAATGGAAGCAACATGCAAACAAGCATATTTCTGAGCTCTTTATATAAGGTTTGGAGATCACCAAGCTCTCTCTCTCTTTTTCCCCTTTCTGAAAATTAATTCATAAATCATTTTCTGGTCTTCCTTCCTTTGTTCAGCCCCTGCCTCCTTCCAGGTGTGTGGAAAGCTGCCATCCTGGATTCATGAAGGTGGCTCAGGAAGGGAAGCCCATCTGCTGCTACGACTGTCTTCCCTGTGCAGAAGGAACCATCTCCACCACCGAAGGTGGGTGACACTAAAGTAAAGGGGAAACTTTCCTTTTCAGGAAGACCACATACCCCAAAACCATGGTGGCGAACCTATGGCACGCGTGCCACAGATGACACGCAGAGCCCTCTCTGTGGGCACCCGCGCCATTGCCCCAGTCCTAGGGCATTCACTTCATTGCCCCAGTCCTAGACTCATTCACTTCATAAGGCCTTTTTTTCCTACCTTGGTGCCTCCTGGGTCTGAATATTGGGCAGCCTTTATTGGGTAAACTGCAGCCTCTTCTTGGGCTGTGTACTATAATTTCAATACTCACTGGAAGTTTGTTGGCGTGCATCAGATTTAACTGATTTAATTGCTTCCAGTAATTCAGTGGACTTACGGTGACCCCTCAGAGCACCGGTCCTTGATTGTGACACGTTTATTACGGGTACCAGGCACTCCCATAGCGTGCCTGTAGTTGCCCGTTGTTGCATCAGTACCTGGGTCACAGGCGCTCCCAGCTGGGTTTTATAAAACCTTTTTGCTTTAGGCCTCCATGCCCGTGTGCAAAAAAAAATGGTTCAACCAATCAATCAATTTCAACTTCTCGCGGAAAAAAAAAGATCTCTCAAAGTTGGAATTGATTGATTGAACTTTTTAGTCCCACCCAGTCTGCCGTTACCACTGCAGCCACGCCCACCCAATTGGCCACACTCACCCAATGGGCGACACCCAACCAATGGGCCATGCCCACCTGGCACCCGACCATACATAAGTGGGTTTTAGGTTGCGGTTTGGGCACTCGGTCTCTAAAAGATTCGCCATCACTGCCCCAAAATATTCTATGAGGGCATTTTGATCAGCTTTTTAGCAATTCACATATTTCTAATATGTATAATTTTTTTCCTAGTAAGTGATAAGAAATCACCCTGGAGGTTAAAGTAGGAACAGAACATTAAAAAATATTGGAGCAAAGATATCTTAATTTTAACAGGGAGATTCCCTCTGATCCTTTGTTTTCACCACACGTTTCATGCTTAAAATTACTAGAAAAGTGAGAGATTCCAGAGCATGTCATGTATTATATCAGGTGGAAGCAACCATTATTCTGCAGGAATCTCCCCACAATGATTGCCTTCAATTTGGAACAGATAGATAATGTTCCATGGCAGTGGTCCCCATTCTTTTTGGCACCAGGAACTGTTTTGGCACCAGGGACAACTTTTCCATGGACCAAGGGGGAGAGGAGTACACAAACTACATCCCTCGCATGTGCACTGTATAGTACGGTTCACATTCCTATGAGAATCTAATGCCTAATGATCTGAGGCAAAGCTAAGACAGTAGCTGCAAATATAAATGAAGTTTTGCTTGCTTGTCCATTGCTCACATCCAGGTGTGTGGCCTGGTTACTAACAGGCTATGGACTAGTACTGGTCCACAGCCCCGGGGGTTGGGGACCCCTGTTCCATGCAGCTTAGGAAGGGTTCAATGCAAAGAGCAACTAAGATGATTAAAGGCCTGCAGGCTAAAACATATGAAGAATGGTTGCAAGATCTGGGTTTGGCTAGTCTAGAGAAAAGAAGGACTGGGGGGGACATGATAGCATTGTTCTAGTATTTGAGTCGCTACCACAAAGAAGAGGGGGTCAACTTATTTTCCAAAGAACCAAAAGGCAAGACAAGAAATGATGGGTGGAAACTAATCAAGGAGAGAAGCAATCTGGAACTAAGGAGAAACTTCCTAACAGTTAAGACAATTAACCAGTGGAACAGCTTGCCTTCAGAAGTTGTGGATGCTTCATCACTGGAGGTTTTTAAGAAGAGACTGGACAGCCACTTGTCTGAAATGTTATGGGGTCTCCTCCTTGAGCAAGAGTTTGGACTAGAAGACCTCCAAGGTCCCTTCCAGCTCTATTCTGATTGATTGACTCCTGGCTTGGTGTCTGGTGAGGCTGACATACCATTAGTTCAGCTTTTTCAGAGTCAAAATCAGAATCTGAGTCCTGGGTCCTTTCTTTCTGTGCTGTTTGACTGCCTGTCAGGTATAAGAGTGAACCTCTTGTTTTCTTTGTTTGTTTCTTCTTCAGTAAAATGAGGATCATCTGGCTCTTCTATTTTTCTCTTCAACCACTGATACACAGGCTGAATCTTTTTCTGAACAGGTGTAGAAATGCAACAATAAAATGTTACATCTTGCTTGCTTGTTTGTTCCATCTGTATGGAGACAGTTTTCAAAAATGCATGTCTAAAGGGAAGCAATGGTTCCTTCTGTCTAGTCATGGATGAGAGGGGCAAAGAAGCAGGGAAATCTACAAATAAGGATGACCAGAGACCAGAAAATAAAATTGCATCTCCAGGACTAAATCTGGGCATGCAATTTTTTTTTTTGTATTAGCTTCAGCGACACATTCTCTATATGTGAAAGAGGAATGCCTGGTTTCCATAGACGTCCTTTCAGAAAAATTGAACTTGCAAGGGAGCACTGAAACCATGGTCCCAACCTTTTGCTCATTTCAAGAAGCTTCCTCAATAGTTGGCAGCCCAGCCAACACGTCAAGAGGGGAAGTCAGCACCGTAAAAAAAAGAACAGGTTTTAAGGTAAATGTTACTCTTTTTCTTTTTCAGATGCAGAAAAATGCAGCAAATGTTCAGAAGATCAACATCCAAATGACAATCGAGATCACTGTATCCCCAAAATAAAGACTTTCCTATCCTATCAAGAAAAAATGGGGATCATCTTGACTTCCATTGTTTTGTTCCTCTCTTTCATCACATGCTTTGTCTTGGGAACTTTCATTAAATTCCAAGAAACTCCCATAGTCAAAGCCAACAATCGGAACCTCTCTTATACCCTTCTAGTTTGTCTCCTGCTTTCCTTCTTCACCTGCTTCTTGTTCATTGGCCAGCCAAGGAAATCTACTTGCCTGCTTCGACAAACGGCTTTTAGCATCATCTTCTCTGCTGCCATTTCTTCTGTCTTAGCCAAAACAATCACAGTGGTGCTGGCTTTCCTGGCTACAAAACCAGGGAATCAAGTGCAGAGATGGCTGGGAAAAACTTTGATTAACTACATCATCCTTTCTTGCTCTGGTCTCCAAGTTGCATTCTGCAGCATCTGGTTGGGTGCTTTCCCCCCTTTCCCTGAGTCTGACATGCACTCACAATCTGGAGAAATCATTCTACAGTGCAATGAAGGTTCTGTCACCATGTTCTATGGTGCCCTTGGCTATATGGGCTTCCTAGCTGCCATCTGCTTCACAGTGGCTTTCCTGGCTAAAAATCTCCCTGGAGCCTTCAATGAAGCCAAGCTGATCACCTTCAGCATGCTGGTCTTCTGTAGTGTTTGGGTGTCCTTTGTGCCCACTTACCTGAGCACCAAAGGGAAGTACATGGTGGCCGTGCAGGTCTTCTCCATCTTGGCCTCCAATGCAGGACTTCTGGGCTGTATCTTCATGCCCAAGTGTTTCATTATTTTCCTAAGACCAGATCTGAATACAAAACAACATGTGATGTCAAAATAAAATAGAAAAGGCCGTTTGTGGAAGACATATGCCTAAATATCAGTTAATAATTCTGATAGCCCTTTGACATTTTAATGTCTCCTTCCCCTCAAAAAAAAAATCCCCCAGCAAGTTGATTTTTTTCCAAGTTGTGTTAAAAAAGGACTTTCACTTTTTAATAAATGTGATTTCCCTTTTTCTCTTTACAGTCAAGTGTAAAGAGAAGAATGTGAATTAGTGTGAATGGTAGTCATAGTTTCCAAGCCAGGTTGCAAGACATGGATATTTGAGGGGCTCCTACAAAGATGAGGGGGTCTAACTATTTTTCAAAGCACCAAAAGGAAAGACATAAAACGATAGATGGAAACTAACCAAGGAGAGAAGTAACCTAGAAGTAAGGAGTAATTTCCTAATGGTGAGAGCAATCAAACAATGAAATGGCTTGTCTTCAGAAGTTGTGAGCGCTCCAACACCGGAGGGAGGCTAGACTAGAAGATCTCTAAGGTCTTTCCCAGCTCTATTATTCTATGTTCTTTGTTCTAAGCATTAGGGCCTACCTATTGCTCTGCCTGTAGATTTAGCAGACAGTGAATAATAGACACTCATGCCCTTTCAGGGACCTCCTTGCTCAGAAGTTATTCCTCTTCATGAGTGGACAGAAGGAGGAAATAATCCCTCCAGATTGAGAATCCTGCATGCCATCAAAGTGCCTCAACCCTACCAGGATTCTATTTGCAACTGAATAAGGATGGGATCTCATCATAGCAACATGATGGTGGAAATTCTTTCCAACTCTGTATTATGATATCTCCTTTGAGAAAAAGAAGAGGTCTAATGTATGACTTCATGTGTCTGACCTGAAATTCCCTCCATGGTTGGCAAGGAGGATACAAACTCCTGATCAGATCTGTTCTGGAGGTTGAAGCTACCCAGCACAAACCAGCTCTAGCAGTCTGAGAAGGAATACCATTGGGCAGCCAAGCAGCTATTATAGCAGTAGGATCCTCGATTTCTCTCTGTATCCTAGACTAACAAGTTAATCAAAAAATGTAATGGGAGGCGGGAAAGCCTAGCAAAATGTGGCAAAGAGATGCTGCCTATGGAACAGTGAAATAAGAGGCAGCAAAGCCAAGAGTTTCATAATACAGCAAAACAGTATAGGAAGGGACCTTGCAAGTCTTCTACTCCAACCCCTCTGCTCAAGTAGGACAGCTTTTACCATTCTGAACAAATGGCTATCCAATCTCTTCTTTAAAACCTCTGGTGATGGAGCACTGACAACTTCTGAAGACAAACCATTCCACTGATTAATTGTTTTAACTGTCAGGAAATTTCTCCTTATTTTTAGGTTGGATCTCTCCTTGATTAATTTCCATCCATTGCTTCTTATCCTGCTTTCAGATGCTTTAAAGAATCAGTTGACCTCCTCCTCTTTGTGCAACCTTTAAAATACTGAAATACTGCTATATGTCACTCCTAGTCCTTCTTTTCTCTAAACTAGCCATACTCCTTAAAAATTGGAACCCTGTTATCATGTTACCCCTAGTCCTTCTTTTTATTAAAGTAGACATACCCAATTACTGCAACTGTTCTTCATATGTTTTAGCCTCCAGTCCCTTTGTTGCTCTTCTTTGGACTCTTTGTTGCTCTTCTTTGGACTCTTTCCAAAGTCTCAACTTCTTTTTATATCATGGCAACCAAAATTGGGTGCAGTATTCCCAGTGCATTTTGAATGAAGTTTCTAATATTAGGTGTCCATTTCAAGTCCTGGTGTCAAGCATGGGAAAATCAGGAAATCAAGGCAGTTCAAATGAATATAAAGATTTATTGCAAGCTTATGCAGATGTCAACACTGCAAATACTGTATATTCTTGCTTTGACAATATGCAGAACTGTCTGGTATTTATATAGTTAAACCAGCAACTGGGAAAGAGGGAGGAGCATAAGGATAGCTCGGGAGAAAGAAACCAGAAGTAAATCACATCTTCCAAGTTGATTGGAAGATGTGAACCATGACCCTACAATAAGGGAGTGGGAAATGCTTGGAATGTTATGCGTAACGGAAGAGAAGCCAGACCTAAGCATTTTCCACCATGCTGTACTGACGTCTCTGTAACCTTAATAAATGCTTTTAGGAGAAAATATGCCTAAAAGTCCTTTTAAGTGTTTCGTTAATCAGACACATGACAGCAGAATCTCTACCAGAATCTGAACTACTAATGTTCAAAACTAATCAAAGAGGGAAGAATTAAGGAGAAACTTCCTAACAGTGAGGACAATTAACCAGTGGAACAGCTTGCCTTCAGACGTTGTAGGTGCTTCATCACTAGAGGTTTTTAAGAAGAGACTGGATAGCCACTTGTCTGAAATAATATAGGTGTCAACGCTGCAAATACTGTATATTCTTGCTTTGACAATATGCAGAACTGTCTGGTATTTTTATAGTTAAACCAGGCAACAGGGAAAAAGGGAGGAGAATAAGGATAGCCCGGGAAAAAGAAACTGGAAGTAAATCACATCTTCCAAGTTGATTGGAAGATGTGAACCATGACCCCAAAATAAGGGGGGGGAAATGCTTAGAATGTATATGCGTAACGGAAAAGAAGCCAGACCTAAGCATTTCCACTATGCTGTACTGATATCTCTGTAACCTTAATAAATGCTTTTAGGAAAAAATATGCTTGAAAGTCCTTTTAAGTGTTTCGTTAATCAGACACATGACATCGTGCTTAGGTCTGAACTCTTTTTAAAATAATCTGGGGTCCCGAACTCCATCCACTGCCTCTAAGCTTGAGAGGTCTGGTAAAGATTCGGGGAAATCTCATCATGGAGAAAGAAAGTTTGTCTGAGGCCAGCCCCCTGGCTGCAACAGTTTCCCTGGGGGGGGGGAAGCGACAGCCGGCAAGCCGGGGGAGAGAGGAATCTGGCAGATTTCCCAGCTGAGAGAAAAAACATCAAAAGCAGAAATGGTGAGTCACAGTCCTGAAGACGGAGGGAATCCCAAATTGAGGCTTTTGCAGCAATGGGCAGGGTGCCCCCCCCGATAGATGATCAGCAGCAACTGAGCTTACCACAGCTAATAGAGGCCTTGCAGCAGCTTGAGGTGATGCAAAAGCCAAGAGAGCTACAGCCGTTGAGCTTGCAGATGAGGGAGGCCCAGCATGTCCAGCAACCATTGAGGGGCCTACAGCAGCAGAGGGCATCACCACCCCCTGCAGTCCAACAGCATAATACACCGCTACAACCCCCACTTGCACAGTCACCATTGGGAGGCCTGCAGCAGCAGGGGGCACCACCAGCCCCCGCTGCCCAGCAGCAGAGAGCCCACCAACCATGGGATTGGCAGGCAGGATGGGGCCAACTGCAACTGGGGGCACCACGTCAACAGCAGAGAGCCCAGCAGCCATGGGACCAACAACCAGGGTGGGGCCAGCAGCAACAGCCCCAGTGTGGGCCGCAACAGCCTGTTTTTGCACCACCCTTCAATGCAACCTTCGATGGAGACCCAGAGAAGCTGATGTCAACGCTGCAAATACTGTATATTCTTGCTTTGACAATATGCAGAGCTGTCTGGCATTTTTATAGTTAAACCAGGCAGAAGGGGAAAAGAAACCAGAAGTAAATCACATCTTCCAAGTTGATTGGAAGATGTGAACCATGACCCTCAAAAAAGGTGGGAGGGAAATGCTTAGAATTACATGCATAGCAGAAAAGAAGCCAGACCTAAGCATTTCCTCCATGTTGTACTGACGTATCTGTAACACGAATAAATGCTTTTAGGAGTAAAAATGCCTGAAAGTCCTTTTAAGTGTTTCGTTAATCAGACACTTGACATCTGATTTTTTTTCTCAACCAAGGGCGCTCTCACTTGAACCGCTGGACCTACCACTATCTGGACCCAGGTGCCATGGTTGACGTATTTGCATCCAACCTAGAGGGAGAAGCAGCTGAATGGCTGAATAATTTATATAGTGAGCAAGCCCCCGAATTGGAAGATCCCCACCTTTTCCTCTTAGGTCTGAAAGAACAATTTGAGGACCCATCCATAGGCCTCAAAGCAGCAAGACAAATTCACAAAATAAAACAAGCCGGGAGGCCTACCCTGGAGTACGTGCGAGAGTTCCGCAAGTTAGCAGGCCGAACAGAGGGGTGGTCCGAACAATCCCTGGTTCAATACTTTGTTGAGGGATTGGACGATCACCTCTCTCAGGCTTGCATCTACCGAGAAGTACCCGATCGGCTACAGGAGTGGTACCAGACAGCGGTGAAGCTAGACGTTAAGCTCTCTCGCTATAAGAAGCGAGAGAGCTTAACACTACACGAACCCGAGCAGCAACCAGAGCTACCCGGACAGCAACCACCCCCACGAAAGCCCTCAACTACGGCAATGGCTGAAAGACCCAGGCCACCAACACACCCTTCCTTTAAGTGTTTCCGGTGTGGACAAGAAGGACATCGAGCGGTCACTTGTCCAATCCCCTACCCCCGACGGCAGAGCAGACCAGAACCAGCAATGCGAAAGAAACCTGCTCAGCGACTAACGAGAGAAAAATCTAACCAGCTCACGCAGGAACCTGTTGCCCAGATTACACCCCACTTACAGGAGGATGCTGGGACTCCGGTTGGACCTGCCCCTGCTCTACTCTCCTTTGACAGCGACAATGAAGGAGAGAACGACCCGATGGTGAGTCAACAAATCCCGCCTTTTTCACTGGCCGCCAAGCTTATAATCCCTAGGTCTGGGGCACAAATGGACTTAAATGTGCTAATTGATACTGGATGCACCCGCTGCATTATTAGTCGGCAGTTTGCAATGAGAATGGGCATATGGGCAAAACAGCTTTCTGAACCGGTGAGGTTTGAGCAAGCCAATGGCTCCCTGATGGGAGGGACTCTTGTCACACAATTAACTGAGCCCTTACGCCTGGAAATAGGTGCACACTGGGAATTTATTCGTTTCCTGGTGGCTCCAAAAATGACTGAGACAGTGATCCTAGGGTTAGCCTGGTTAGACAAATGGA